TTCTCTCTGTCTCAAATAAATAAATAAAATCTTTAAAAAAAAAAAAAAAAAAAGAAAATGAGTCAATATAATAAGGTGATGAGAACCAGGTTTCTCACTAGACAAGGGAGTAATAAATAAACAAAAGGAGAAAGCTGGAATGAATCATGTGGCATAGAATTACAATTGGGAGTTCGGTGTAAACTTAAGAGTTCTCAGTATGTAGAGTTAGATATAGAAATGAATACCGATGGGCATTTCTGTGTATGTATGCAAATACATCTATATCTTCCTACCTATGTATATGCATACACATGTACATCACACACACAAATCCATATATTTCCTAGCTCTATCCCTGAGAGAGCTTGGGGGCAGTGACCCTAATAATGAAGAGTCTACCTAGAGCCCAGACCTTGGTTTCTCAACACCAGCCTCCACTAGAAGGGAACAGCATTGATTTCAGGGCTGGAACAGGAAAAATATAAGACAAGTTTAGAACATCTCATAATTCCAGAAGATAAGCAAGTAATCAAAGAATGATGGAGACATATCCAAAGGACACAGAAGATAGCTCAAAGGGGTGCCAAATGGTCCAGTTTGGGATGATTTGATATAAATGAAATCATAGCATCAGATTAAGTCCAATTGATTAAAATGGGCATCCATTCATTTTTCCTGATATTAATAAGTAAATGAACATGTAAGGGGAAAAGAATAATCTTCCCTATAGTATAATGCCTGCTAATAAATGTTCGAGAAATTATGGAATTAGAAAAGCACAGTTTGAGACCCAAAGTGATCATTATTTTAGGCAGAAAGTATCAATAGATTCTAAAACTAGTGGATAAAAATTGGAGTAGTTACATAGCCTCAAAATATCTGCCCACAAAACCCTTATTAACTGCAAAGGAGAAAAAGAGTAACTGTACAGTAGAGATCCCTGGTAGACACCATGCTACTCAAGAGCTCAAAAGTTTACATCACCAGTAATAGGATAAACCAAGATCCTATGTCATATTATGGGATTCCATGAAAACACCACGTCATCACATCTGATATTCCTGCCCAGAATACATAATTTCACTTACATTTAATCATAAGGAAGTAGCAAACAAATCCAGATTGAGCCATTTCCTTGAAATAAATCTCCTTAAGGGGGTGCGTGAATATATATGTACACACACACACACATACACACTCACACACTATTGGTTCTGTTTCTCTGGAAAATCCTTACTGATAACAGTAACAAGTTTGGATTCAGAAGCTTTTGACCATGCAGCTTGCTAATTGTAAGCTTTTGTTCAGATGTCACATTCTCATAGAGGCCTATTCTGATCACTGTATCAAAAATGAAAATTAATTATCTCTCCATTCCATATCCCTGATCCCCTGACCCCACTCTATTTTCTTACATAGCAATGTCACTTCTCACATACTGTGTTACTATTTATTGTGTTTATTATCTATTTCCCTTTTCCAGTATATAAACTTCACCAAGGCAGGCACTGTAGGACAAGTTCCCTGGGAAAAACCTCTGAGCTGGAGATTTGTGTGCAGAATGCTTCTGGGGTGAGTGGTGCTCCCAGGAACAGCAGGTATAAGGGACTGAGGAAGAAGGGCTGGGCAGAGAGTGGAGTGTAGTTGAACACAGGTCTCAGCTGATCGCAAGGGGAGCTCTGAAGCTGGGGTCATGCTTCTGGCTGTCTTGAATTGAAACAAAAGGGGCTGGGTCTTTATACCCCCATGGTAACCAGTCATTGGATGCAGGGTGCACCAGGGAAGGGGCGTTACCTTGGGTAACACAGCTCCTTTTGGCCAAGGGCAATTCCCAGGAGGAGTCAGTCATGGGGCAGCCCCTGGCACCACTCCTGGCCCCTGGGGAATGAGCAGTGTGATCCTGAATGGGGGATCTGGGTGGTACACTCCAGCAGTAGCCACTAGAGTGGGATCTTTGTCTATTGCTGTATCCCCAGGAACCAGAAGAGGGCCAGAATTGTTGACTGGATGGGCGAATACATAAATGAATGAACAAATGAATGAATGAATTCCTTTCCCAAAAGGTCAGCAAGCACAGACAGGATGTGGCCACTAGTCTCAGCTGACAAGCAGAATGACAAGAGTGTAAAAATAGAAAATAGGTCAATGTCAATAGAGAAAACTTTAAGACAATTCAGTATAAAACAAAAAGCAGCAAATGGGAGAAGAGAGGCATAGGGCTTTGGGAAAGAATGGCAAGGTGGGATACGGCATTGAATACATTTATATTTCAGGGAGTTTCCAAATCTTCCACATAGATTCCGAGCAGTTTATTGTAGGATCAGGGTGTTGCAGGCCTGAGGAGCCCGGGGTTAAAGAAAGCATCCTGCTAACACAAGGAGCAACTGGCTCCCGTGACAGAACTTTTAACAAGCCTTTTCTCATATCTGTTGACTTAACGCAGGCCAGGGAATTCTTTGAAAGGCAACATGGCTATAAATCAGCAAGTCCCGTAGCGTGCATTCCAGGGTCTTGGAGGAAAGGGCTGCACACAAAGGCACCTCTTCTAAGTCTTTAGGAATGCCTTGGTGAGTGGCCCTGGGAGTCTTGGGGTTAGCCTGGGGCTGGGAATGGAAAACATCCAGAAGGGAGGAGCAGGGAAGCACCAGCCATAGTAGCACAGCATGTTTCTACCAAAACATTGGGCACCCAGCACCTAGCTCAGGGCCTACTACTACCGGATAATCAGCACTCAAGGAATTTCTGTTGAATGACTGACTAAATCATAGTCAGTTGTCTTGGTTCTGGCCCTGGTTCTGTCATTCACTGGCTGTGTGACCTTGAGGAACTCCCTTCTCCGAACTCCGGTTAACTGTGTGCATAAAATGTTGGGCTTGAATACAAATGGAATCTTTGGGAGTGCATGACCTATCGGTTCCTGAGTCCTAAAGAACATTCAAAGAGATGCATGAATCTGTGGAAAGGAGAAAAATACAAAAAGTCTACATGGCAGAGAACATTGCAGCTTCCTGAGCTAACACGACCACCTAAGATGGTTAGAACCTGCTAAAGGAAGTAAACAATTCCTGTCACGGCCGCTCCTCCCACCCCCAACCCCCACCCCAGTGGGATCTGCTGGGGCCGCAGGAGACTGCTGTGTCCACCACTCCAGGGGAAATGCCTCTTCCACAGCTGGCTCAAACACAACAGATCCCCTGAAACACAAAAAATCCCCTCTGGGACAGTTCTGACACCAGGTCAAGGGGTAAGAGGCAAATGTTGTCTGATGCCCACTGCAACTTCCATTATATCTGGGGCAGACCTTCTCCTTAAGGCCCTGAGGCAGGCAGAATCAATTTTAGTCAATTGCCTGCTCACTTCCATCTGTAGCCTGATGTGGTGGAAAGGACAACAGGCTCCCACTAAAAATACAAGGGTTCAAGTTCTAGCTTTTCTGACACTTGCAAACTTGACAAGTGACTTGATTTCTCTGGATCTGTAAAATGGGAATGATCATAACAGCTTCACAGGTAGGATCAAATGGTAGGAGATTTATGAAATCAGCATTTATTTCCCCTCCCACCCTGTCCTCCCTCCTTCCTTCTCTCCTTCTCTTCTGTGCAAGTCAGCCCAGTTAAGTCAGAGCAGAGTACAAGCAAGGCCAAGGGCATGGTAAGTGTGATGCTTATATGGGACCACAATCCTGCTCCTTGTCCTGGCCCTGTCAGTCCTAAAGAGTCAACTTGCTAACTGTGTGCTTACACCTTCTCCTCACAGAGCAAAGGCAGTTTGCCACTGGCCAGTATCACTGTGGACAAATACTATTTACTCAGCAAGGATGCCAAGCATTTTTAATCCCTGACTCATCAGGAAGAGGAATTTGGCAAAAGGGGATGGGGGTGGGGAATGAGATGAAACTGAGTGAGACCAGAATGTAATTATGAGGGTCAGATTCCACCATTCCGGGGCACAGAGGAAGAGGGGAGGAGATGGTCCTTTCCCCTCCAGAGCTGAAGTGACCCCAATTCCCCCTTTGGAAAACTGAAGAAGAAAGAACTATAAGAGATGTGTGGGGTTTTTCTTCTCTTTCTCAGAGTTGCACCTTATGCTGAACCAGGGGCTCTGAATCCTTTGGCAGACTGCTGACATCATTGAAAGGGACCCTCAAAATCTACATTTGTACTAAGCAGTATTTGTGTACTATGTAACTGTAAGTTCAAGTGCTTTCATGGAAGAGGCATCCTTTTGACTCATATCTGGGTCCTTGTATTCAAATCAGTTGGATTCAGACCCACTGCAGCCAGGCCTGATAGCTGAGTCCCCATTTCTCCAGACACTCTGTTTTGCCCCATCTCTCTCCCTGTCTGTGGGAATAAACCACAGAGCAGCTCTTTCCTCTCTGCGGGCTTGTGATGAGGCCTGCCTGGCCTTCCCCCTCAGTGTTAACCTTCTTGGGGGCCGAATCTGAGGGGGTACCTGGCTCCTTTGGGTGCCGAGGGATGGTGACTCACATGGTGACAGTCCATTTGCTTACTCCACTTAGGCTGATGGCCTTGCTAGGCCTATTCTTTTCTTTCTTTCCCAGCCCTTTCTTCCCATCACTGTGCTTCTTCATCATCTCATTTTCCCCTTTCTAAGATGCTAAAGACAGGCTTGTTGCCCCTCTGCACCTATGTCTTCCTTTCCCAAGATCTTTGCCTCCTCTTCTAAGTCTTTCCTCTGTAGTTAAGCTATGAGGATTTCCCCCTCTGCAGTGCCATAGGATGCTCTTAATACCAGATTGTACTCCAGTGGGCCCAGCGAATCACCCCAGGTGAGTGGACATCGAGATGGTCCTAAAAACTAAACAGTCTCAAGAAAGATTGGCATCAATTGAGCCCTGACTATGGGCCAGGAAATTTACATGCAATGTATATTTAGTCCTCACAGTATTCTTCTTAGATACTTTTACTCCCATTGTACAGATGAGAAAATTACGGCTCAGAGAGGTTAAGTACCTAAGCTGAAGTCTTGGTTAGCAAATGACAATCATAACCTACCCCAGGTCTGTCAGAGTCTGGAGCTCACTCTTGTTTCCACACTATGGCGCCTCACTGACTCCACAGTAATCTTCACATCCATCTCTGGCTGATGCAATGTCATCTTGATGCTCAGGGAAATGTGATGTGTCAGGTTCAAATTTAATCACAACATCCTATAAATTATAGTTAGAGAAGCAGAAATAAATGTGTCAAGATGATTTGTAGGATGAGACATAAGCTCTGATAATTTGACCTGAGTTGAAAGATGTTAAGTCTGTGTGTATGTGTGTGTGTGTGTGTGTGTGAGAGAGAGAGAGAGAGAGAAATAAACAAATTCAGCACAATAATGAAAGCATCAGTGTAGGGCCAGTGGTCCCGAATGCTGGAGCACAATGAGAGAGCAGCTCAGGAAATGATTTTAATGAACAGAGACTCTGGCCTCGGGGGAATACCCAGAATCAGGAAAGCCTTAAACTCTTCTCAGCTCATGTTTTATTCTAAGGAAATACTGTATAGAATTTATTATTAGCAAGAAATATACATTGAATTATTGAATAAGGGGTCTTTAAACAGGAATATAACATAAAACAAGTCTATGTATTGATCAGTTGACAAAAATGTGCCCAGAGGCTTGTAGGAATCTGACCCTGAATTTCCTCTAGGAGCAATGGCTTAATATTTGCTAATTCACTGTTTGTAGTGACTTTATAGAATATAGTGACCAAGAATCATGAGAACTGATGGTATGTTTGGGTTTTTTTTGCCTGTTTATATTGTCTCTCTCACTGGACAGTACACTCCATGAGGGTAGGCATCACGTTTTCCTCACTTCTGGATCCTTACAATCCCTTGGATTAATCCTACTTTGGCAGATGTCAAATAAATGCCTTTGGAATGAATGGGTGGATTAGTGAAAGTTAGGAAAAGAATCATGAAAGTGTTGAATCACAGAAGTCAAGAGAGTTTTGAGGAATGAGTAATCATCCATGTAGCCAAAGCAAGTAGGGAGGAGCAAATATCCATTGGGTTGGCAGGTAGGAGGTTGTTCATAGCCTGGGAGACCTGTTTCAGCTGTGGAAGGAAGACAGAAGCCATACTGTAGTGGGCTGAGGAACTGGCAGTGAAGAAGGGGGTAGGCTACCTTTTTTAGAAGTTTAGGTGAGACGGGGAAGAAATAGATTTGACAGAAGCTAGAGGAGCCTCTGGTCGAGGGGTGGGTCTTTCAGGACTGGAGAAGTGCTCTCATAGTTAGAAGGTGGGGGGAAGTAGCCCAGAGAGAGGAAGAGGCTGGAGGTGTAGCAGAGAGGGGCAGAAAGAACAGTATGTGGTTCATGGCAGAGGTCAAACTCTAAACAAGAAGAGGGAGACCTCAGCCTTACAAACTAGGGAAAAGGAAAAAAGGAAGAGTACAGATATTGATATATTTATAGTGAAGGGGGCAGGAAGTTGAAGGAGATCCCTCCTGATTACCTTGATTTCTCTCTGTCCAGTAGGAGGCCAGGTAGGACATAAGGGAAGAAGAGGGAAGGTACCTGTAGACTGACTACAGCTTAGAGATCATGAAGGAGCTTATGCCAGATAAATCCAAGGACTGATGGGTAGAGAAGCACTGGAGGCCATGATGCTGCAGTGGCATTAGCAGCCAGGGTAAAAAGAGCAGCCAAGGCAGGCTATTGTGTTTCTGCTCAGCACTTGAGTTTTGCTGGGCAAGTGCAATGGAAGGACTACAGAGCAAGGGAGCTGAAGAATCTGTGAGACAAGAGTTCAGACTGGAGCAGGCTGATGGGTGTGAAAAAAAGCAGAAGATGAAGGATTTGTGGTCCCCATGAAGTGAAAGAGCAGGTATGTCAGGATAAGGATATGAGTGGGCAAGGTCAGAGGTTCATGAGGGAAGCTCTAGGTAATGACTGAGCCCAGAGTGTTGCCATGTGAGTGGGTAGCTAAAGATCAGTAGAGTTCCTTGACCTTAAGGAGATCCAGGGGATGCAAGATCAATGATCCTTCTAGTCTTGTATTAATTTAGCAAGTTGTTTCCTGAATTCAAGCTTCTTATTTGTGGCTTTACAGCCTTAGCAAGGTAACAGTGAAGCAAAATATGATGAGCATCATGTGTATGAGGAAAATGGAAATATTAACTTTATAAAGGTAGACAAATACAAATCCTCCCTTCCTCCATACATATTACAAAACCTAATGGGTTAATTACTTGAAAGAAAGTTGAAGAAAGGTTTTACTGATACGGAAGTAGTGTGGTATAAAAGAAAATATCTGGGCCCAGAATTAAGGTAATAATGTATTTCTTGACTCTAGACTCCCCATCACCAAATGGATCACTAAATGGTCCAATTGAGTGGACTTCTTACCTGCTCTTAATCTTCTTGACTTTGGAAGAATGGCACCTGACACTGTGGGCCATCCTCTCCCCAGATTTTGCCTTCAGCAACATCACCTTTGAGGTTGCCCTACTCCTTCTCTATATGTCCTTCTCTGGCTCCCCCTTCTGATTTTATACCCACAGGGATCTGCTCTTAGCGGTCGCCCCTTTTTTTTTCCTACAGTTTGTCCCTTGGCACTCTCTTTCATTTGCATAGTTCAATCAGTATCCTCTTGCAGGGGATTTAGACCTAAATGTGAGACAGGATACTATCAATCCTAAAAGAGAATACAGGCAGAAACCTCTTTGACCTCAGTCATAGCAACTTCTTACTAGACAGTCTCTGGAGGCAAGGGAAACAAAAGCAAAGATGAACTATTGGGACTTGATCAAGATAAAAAGTTTCTGCGAAGTGAAGGAAATAATCAACAAAACTAAAAGGCAGCATATGGAATGGGAGAAGATATTTGCAAATGGCATATCTGATAGAGGGTTAGTATCCAGAATCTATAAAGAACTTGTCAAACTCAACACCTAAAAAACAATAACCCAGTTAAGAAATGGGCAGACAAGATGAATAGACATTTTTCCGAAGAAGGCTTCCAGATGGCCAACAGACACATGAAAAGATGTTCAATATCACTCATCATCAGGGAAATACAAATCAAAACCATGATGAGATACCACCTCACACCTGTCAGAATGGCTAAAATTAACAACACAGGAAACAACAGATGTTGGCGAGGATGTTGAGAAAGGGAAACCCTATTGCACTGTTGGTAGGAATGCAAACTGGTGCAGCCACTGTGGAAAACAGTATGGAGGTTCCTCAAAAAGTTAAAAATTGAACTATCTTATGACCTAGAAATTGCCCTACTAGGTATTTACCCAAAGGATACAAAAATACTGATTCAAAGGGGCACATGCACCCTAATGTTTACAGCAGCATTATCAACAACAGCCAAATGATTGAAAGAGCCCAAATGTCCATTGACTAATGAATGCATAAAGAAGTTGTAGTATATATATATATACACAGTAGAATACTACTTAGCCATTGAAAAGAATGGAATCTTGCCATTTGCAACGACATGGATGGAACCAGAGTGTATTACGCTAAGTGAAACAGTCAGTAAGAAAAAGAGAAATACCACATGATTTCACTCATATGTGGAATTTAAGAAACAAAACAGATGAACGTAGGGGAAGGAAAAAAAAAAGAGAGGAAGCAAAGCGTAAGAGACTCTCAACCATAGGCAACAAACTGAAGGTTGATAGAGGGAAGGTGGGTAGGGGATGGGCTAAATGGGTAATGGGTATTAAGGAGGGCACTTCTTGTGTTGAGCATTGGTTATACATAAGTGATGAATCCGTAAATTCTGCTCTTGAAACCATTATTACAACTTATGTTAACTAACTAGAATTTAAATAAAAATTTGAAAAACAAAACAAAATAGGACAGAATGCAGAATTTTCCTTTTTAGGCCATTGTGTTCCATATTTCTGTCCATTGGACCATCAGACTCTCTCTTGCTAAACGTATTTTCCCTTCCTTACAAGTAACAGTTACTCAAAGAATCATAGCACCACGGGTATTTGATTGGAAGGGATCCAGAGGTAGTATCTCATAGTGGGAGGCATGGTGGCTAAGAACGGGTATGGTCTTTGGACTGGAGTGGATCTGTATTTAAATACTGGCTTAGTCTTTTGCTTGCTGAGTGACCTTTGGGGAGTTACTTAATTTCTCTGTGCTTCAGTTACCTTTAAAAGCTTTTGTCAGCATCACTTAGATGATGTGTGTAATGTTCTTAGTCAAGGGCTTAGCACTTATTAAATGCTCAGTGAAAGGTGATTATTATCAGGGATTCCACCCCTTCATTTTTCAGATGGTGAAATTAAGGACAAGAGAGATAAAATGATTAAATAATAGTGAAAGAGTTGGAACTAGAAACCAGTCTGATGACTTCAAGACCTGTGTGTCTTCCTAAATCTTAAGGCTCTTTATACCTAAGCTAAGGGAGTAATGGTTTGAAATAGTAAGAAAACTGTCTTTGGAGAAGCCTATTTTTAGATCATTACTGGGGGAAGACACCATGTCTTTTTAGCTTGCTGTCAAATCTTAATTATTTATGCTAATGGGGACCAAGGAAACTTGGTTAAATGAAAGGCATGCGAAGTGTCCAAAGGCCATTTAAATAACAGCTTCAACTTTTTCCTCAATTACTGTCTACCAATTTATTGGAGGTACTACATTCAATGTGGCAACAGAACATGAAAAACCAGCAAAATGTTTCAATCACAGGTTTCTAACTAGGTTTCAAAATAGAGGCATAGTATCATAAATAACCTCATCTCAAAAGAAATCTTGAAGGAAAATTTGAAAAACAGAAATGGAATGAGAGCATTGTGGTAAATAAAAAGAGACAAATGAAATTTCTTATCTATTGTTATCAATGTCTGCAAGAGCACCATGCTTGGGAGGAAATTATCCCCTGCTTCCTAATGCTGTTTTTCATTTTACTTATCTTGTTAACTTTATTAAACCCAACAGGAAGTAATTTTAGCATAACCACTAATTTGTTTTGACGTGTCTCAAGAGACCTATTTTTTTTCTTTTAAATAATGCCTGCTGCTTTGTATCAAACCATGCCCCAATTGAAGGGGCATCTGTTATTGGAATGCTTTTCAAAAATAACAGTGGAGTCTGAAAGTCTGGAAGGTTTACAATAAAATCTTCTGTTTGGAGCCCACATTTGTGATGGGATGCCTGAGTACATTTTATTTTATTTTTTAAGTCTT